AGCCAGAGGGCCCCTCCAAACAGCCTCAGCACCCTGCAGGGCACGAGGTTAAGACTGGGCAGGTTCTGTCGACCCTAGCTGCCCCTGTCTGAGGACAGTCTTTTTCCTTGTCCGGACCTTCAGGGAGCGTGAGGTGCCCTCCCGCACCAGCGCCTTCCTCTTGATCACACGCAGGCTCTGGCTGCGGCTCAGAGGCTTCTCTCGGAGCCGGGTTGTTGGATGGGGCGGCCTCGGCATCGGAACATTCCTCTCATCCTCAATATCAGAACATTCCTCTTCCTCACTGTCCTGCTGGCCCCCGGCTGGGAATGCTGTGTGGAAGGGCTGCATGGATTGGTATCTGATGCGTGGCCTTCGGCGGGGCACCTGGTTCTCCAGGTAGACGGGATCCTGGTAGGTGGAGGCAGAGGTGTCGGGGATGGAGAGCAGATCCAGCGCATCCTGACTATGTGTCTCCATTTGATTATCCAAGTTTGACTTTTTTAGATTCCACATATAGGTAAGATCATACAGTATTTATCTTTCTATGTCTGACTTATTTTACTTAGCATATCGTCCTCAAAGTTTTATCCATGTTGTCACAAATGACAGGGTTTCCGTCGAGGAGAAGGAACTACAGTAGCCCCTAAGATGTGGTCACCAGTTTCCTCATGTGAAGAGGACATACCCGTAGGATTAAGCTTACTTCTCTCTTAAAAATATAATTTTTATTAAATAAGAAAAGGCTGTTGTGTCTTTCCAACTATGTTAGCATTGAGTAGACCCAAGCTAAGATGAGACTATCTAGGTGCAGTGTTACCTCAAGGTACTGTGTAAGATGCCCAGTCTCCCCTAATGCCCCGTAGCAGACCAGTAACTGTTTTTCAAATGGAATGTAGAGGGCAGGTATCGGGGAGGCAGTGAGTCCGCAACACCGCGGAGCACCTCCAAGTAGAAGCAGCGTTCCTTTGCCACAGGTGTGCAGCAAGTGTCTGAACAGCCTGACCCAGATGCCTTCCACATTTTACTCCATTTCCAAATCTGGCCAGTTGCATGCATGGCTGTGAACAAGCACTGGTATTCAAGTCATAAAAATTTTTATCCTGCTTCCTTGCACCCCACCCCATCTCATTGTACCCTCATTAGAGATTAAGGCCTCCATTCTGCCCTGAGGATGGAGAAACCTCAACTCCATCTGTAGCCCCCTTTCTCCTTAAAGGCAGTTAAATTAGAATACATACTTCATAGTCAAGCAGTAAAGGTGCTGAAGGAAGAATTTGTTTTAAGGCAGCTGCTTGGCTTCTTAGTTCTTCCAGTAGAAAGAAAATGATTTCTGTGGAGGGATCGGGCTTTATAGAAGCACTTTCGGTTCCAACTTTCCATCTGGGTGGCCAACTAACTGTCTGCCTGAGAGCTCCCCCGCAGTAGCTCAGTATTGGACCAAATTTCTTTGGTATTTGCCCTATTTCTATGGAAACCCCCTGTTTGAATGAATCCCATATCCACATTGCCTATGGGTCCCTATGGAGGGAGTTTGATAGTCCCTTCCTTAGTTTTGTCTCAGATTGTTGAGTCTTTGCCTGGTTTGGGATGTCTGTCTTTATCCTGGGCATTTTTTAGATCAGTGTCATCATAGCCTACCAGAGAGGGCCTTTAAGTACTAAAAACAAGGAGTGGAGTTTTTCACTTAGGATAAGGGGGCAGATCACAACATCTTTTCAGTCATTCTCTGCAGTGTTGGGCTCATTATGGGTGCAGTCATTTTGTCCATTTTACAGTCAGTTTGGAGCATGTATGAGTACAGCACTCAGGTTTTGAATAGTTTCTACTACTACTTCTGGTATTCCATACAGAAATCCAAAGTAGCAGGCCCCGTTGAGGGCATAATTCTGTCCCAGCTGAATAGTCTGCATAATAGCGTGAAGTGCATGAGGCAGCCTACCTGCTGCCCTTCATCTTTGCTTCCTAGTCACATAGACACACTAGCCATATCTTTACCAGCTCCCCAGTCTGAGGGCCAAAGCAGTCCCAGGTGTCCCTTACCACAATGGGTCAATAAAAACTGATTTTGTCAGACTAAAGATTTGGCCCTGGTGATTTTAGGCTAGTTAGGCTAGGATAATTGGGAATTTCTACCAAGGTGTGGCCGAGACCCTCACTGCCATGGACCAGGATCCTTGACTCAGTAATGTGCACGTCTGCAGCCCCTTGCATCTCACCTACTTGAGACACCTCTATCCCTGATTACATGGATTTTTGCACTGAATCCGGACTCTGATTATCTTTTTGGCCCTTTGGTGTCAGATTTGTTATTTGTATCCTGGGATTTTAGAGTTCTGATCAGACTTTGGTATCCTCTGGTTAAATTTGGCTTTTAGCATCATCTTTATCTTCTGTGTATCCACTACCTATGTTGTTTGTCTGAGAACTTACCAGAAATTGACTTTGGGAGCGATCTTTGTAAACATTCTGCCCTTCGGGCTACTACTGATCTTTCCAATTGGCAGTTGAGGTGGCTTAACATTAAAGGGCCCAAGTCATTTGTAACTGATATTTTTCATTTGACCAGGTGTCGGGCACTTTCTCATGGGTTTGTTTGGTAATAAACTTGTATAAACTTCTGGCATTACTTCACTGAGGGCAATTTGGAATTGTAGTGGCCACTTTGAGCAACTTTGACATGAATAAGGTTGTTTATCTGAGAGGTGCTTTAAAACAAAAAGAAAAAAAAATCATGCGACTGGCTTCTCTAAAAGAGTGAGATCATATTATTTTTTTCTATACATTGAATATTAATAAGTACTGGCTTTTTAATGGTATGACTTTATAAAATTATCAAGGCCCCAAGATATTGTTTAAAACACCTTTAATGACTGTTGTGGGTATGTATATGACTGTATATCAAAATGAGTGTTTAGTTTTCACAGTGATAATTTCATTCTAAAACTGACTCCTTCATATATATAGAATTATAGACACAGACTGAAAGTGAAAGGATGGAAAAGATATTTCATGCAAATTAAAATAAAAAGAAAGCTAGCATAGCAATACTCATATCAAACAAAACGGACTTTAAAACAAAGACTGTAAAAAGAGACAAAAAAAGGACATTACATAATGAAAAAGGGGTCAATCCAGGAGGATATACCATGTATAAATATTTACACACCCAACATAGGAGCACCTAAATACAGAGGGTGCCAAAAAAATGCATACACATTTTAAGAAAGGAAAAACCTGTATTAAAATTGTAATACTCAATATATACTGATAAAAGATGAATATAAGTCATGTGTATACATTTTTGGCACCCCTGGAATACACACACACACACACACACACACACACACACACACAAGGGAGAGAGAGAGAGAATGGTACTCTTCTAGCTCAATGAAAGGCAAATAATACAATTTAAAAATGTGCAAAAGACTTGAATAGACATCTAAAGAAGATATACAAATGGCCAATAAATACATGAAAAGAATGGGAGCCTTCATGCATTGATGGTGGA